GGGGGGGGGGGGGGGGGGGGGGGGGGGGGGGGGGGGGGGGGGGGCAGGTCAGCGTGTACACTATGGGCGAAGGGAGACGAGATGCTAAAAAGAATAGCTGGAGCCTCCCAATGTGCACCCCAGGGTCAACAATGACCTCATCAGCCCGCAAGGAGCCTCGGGGGGCACCCCGAAGACTTGTCTCCTCGCTCGGGCCGAGGCGATCCAAACGGGAGCGCAATTAGATAAACTGGACAGAAAGCGCACCTGGTTCGCAACAGGCTTGACTTTCGCGGAGTCGAGGAGGATCTGGAGCTCAGGGACACCGAAGTTGCTGACGCCGATGCTCCTGAATGACAGGGGTCAGCGCGCTGCGACTGCGCGAGGAGCAGGGCAAGTGCCAGGGCGAACGGACTTTACGAGGCCGTCCTGCTTCAGCTTCTCCATCTTCGCCCATGCCGTGGGGATGTCTGGGGTGGCGAGACGCGGGTGGTGGATTAGGTACAGGTCCACATAATCGACGCCAAGCTGCAGGCCGAGGAGTTTGAGTGGGAGCCACTTATGGTGCATTGGACAGCCGGAAACTCACGAATTTGAGGCTGTTCTGGATGGAGGTCTCGATGTCGAGGCCGTCGCGCCCAGAGAACTTGGTGGTGATGTAGAGGTCCTTGCGCGGGAGGCCGCTCTCCTTGATCGCCTTGCCCGCCTCTTCTTCGTTCCTGTACGCCTGCGCGGTGTCTGTAAGAGCGTTATATGAGCCTTAAGCTGGACTTCTAAGGCGGCCTGCGACTTACCAATGTGGGAGAAGCCGACTGAGATAGCCTGGTCAACGAAGTCCGTAGCCTGCGTTCCACCACCGAGGGTCCACGTCCCGAACGCAACACTGGGAATGCTGGTCCCTATGCACCACAACTGTGAGCAGCGTTCACGCGCCTCGTGCATAACGCACGTACCGTCGTTCAACTTGATGAGCTCCCAAGGCATGGCGGTCAGTTACGACGGGCGGTGGTGGTGGTGGTGGGAGACGAAGAGGGGTCTGCAGAGGGCCGAAGGCATGGGCACTGTCGAAGGGATGGAGTATATATTTGGGGGTGAGAACGAGCCCTGTGGCGCAATCATCGACGTTGCGGTCGACGGTAATGCGGCAGCTAAAAACGTCCGAACGTTCGCCTTCTTATCTTACACGCCCATATGGCGGCATGCCGCGTCGGCCCACACGCTCTTCGACACGGTCAGCTGACTCCAAGCTCACCTCGTTGGCGGTCCCCGGCGACCCTCTCCGTCTCCTTCTCCACCTCCACGACGAACGTATGAGCCGCGCAAATCAGCCTTCTTTCTCCTACACTAGTCCCCCATCTCCCTCTACACCCGCCAGGATGGACTTACCAAGCTAGACAAACACGCGCACGATATATTTCAAGACCATCGCGAGGAGATGAGGTATGTGATTTGCACCGCAAGTTTCGTCTTGCATATCCCGTCGTGGAATCGTATGCCAGGGCCAATGCGTTTTTGGTACTATGGCCTGTCGTCGCTTGTGAAAGTAAAGATGAACATATATACTCGGCACGGCCCAAGCTGCACCATACAAAGCCGGGGAACGTACCGATACTAAGGCTCTCTCATATATGAATGGCGAATATCTGGTTAACGTACTTGACACAGGTTTTCCGGCTTCGTCTTAGTATTTGCAAACCTGTGAGTAGCCGGCGGTTGGCCTGCGGACAGGCTACAGCAAGTTCGCCACCGTTGGAACGACGGCTTATAGCTCTCTCACGGGTTTCGCTTCCACCCCCGCCTACTCACGCATGCAAAAGCGACAATGCGTCGCGCGCGCAGTACAGCCATGGCGGCACGGTACTCTAGCGCCTCTTTGCGTGGTATCGCCTGCCATGGTATCGCCCACGATGCCACCCCGGACTTCTGCGAAGATGCCCCTTGGCCTCAAGTCATCTTTGATGAGATGTCCCTCCTCAAATATGAACCTGTCAGCGCCCCGCCAATGATGCGTATACGCAATGATCTCGTCCCAACACATTTGCACAATGCCGGCCTCGTAGTGACGAAGGAAGTGGTGAGTCGGGCGAGGATTTTATTTTGAGCGTGCTTCACACTTCACCATGATTCTCATCCGCAGGTGCTGCGCGCGATGGGTATCCTGATACTATGTGAATGTTCTTTGCGAAGTACTCAACATGCAGGCATCTCTACATGCAGCATATGGTCTGCTTGCACCACCATCACGATCCTCCTGATCCTCGCCGTCTTTGACGGCGCCTCAAGGGCGCCTCCCCATCCAATCTAGGCTCGTACAGCCTCTTACAGCCTGCGCTTGTTAGAAGTCCAGGAACATGTGCTTTGTTGCTCACACAACTTGCTGTATCTCCGAAAATCACTTCCCAAACTGAGCCGGTCCCCGTCCGAACCCATCTCCGCCGGATCATTCGTCGCTCTTCTGACAGGTACAAACAGCGTCCGTGAGATCCCCTATCATAACGTGCGGGGTGATCTGATGCGCTTGGAGACGGGTATAATAGGTCGCTAGGACGCACAATGAACGCTTACGCCCCGATTCACAAAGTGCTCCTCCGGTCATGTCGCTTCCTTTGGCTTCCCTTCCCTTGAGCCTCGACGATACCTATGGGGCTCTTCTGGTGGGGACATTTCTTGGTATAATGTGAGTATCGCTTCTCTAGCGTGCGCATCGCTCCGATGCTTACCGATAGCGCAGATTGTATGGCGTCAGCTTGCACCAACTCTTCCGGTACATCCGGTTGTACCCCTTCGACGTTCTTTCGATTCGGTTTCTTGTGAGCTCTATTTTCTGATTTGCTGCCTGTTCTGCGGGACTAAACCTGCGCTCAGGTCACAAGTGTCATGTTAGGAATACTTCACCTCGATCAGCGTCCAAGTCCGCTAACATGAGGAGCAGGGTACTTGAGACATTGCATGTGGTGATGACGATGGACATCTGGTAAGCACCATTTAGTAGTCGCATCTTCGAGCAAAACTAATGAGCGCCGGCAGCTATTATTACCTCGTTACCCACTACTTCCAGCCGCTAGTGCTCCTGGAGGGCGTGTGGTAAGTACATCTCGCTGATGATTAGTATCCTACGCTCACCATAGGCATGCACATAGGTCTCTGCAGGTCAGTGTATACGCGCGCTCCGAGCTGCTTGTGTGCTGACATATGAAACGCCCTTACAAGCTCATTCCGGCGGTTACGGTACGTTGAAACGCTGTCTCGATCCGTTCCGAAACTCAGCCACCTGTCCTCTAGGCCTTGACTGCTTGCGTTTCCAAAGTGTGAGTCTCCGCGCAATCCCCTGAATTGGTTGACCATGTAGCTGACGTTCCATGTCCAGTTTCTTGGCCCGACGGGTATTTCTGAGTAAGTGCCATGAATATGGTGGCGCCATCGTAGTATGAACGCGCAATTACTAGCCGGCCCCCGCTCTCGATGGGCTACCGCACTTGTGGTAAGTAACGGCGTTTCATTGCTCAGATAGCCCTACTGAGGGTTCACTTAGGGCATACTGCTCGTCGCCGAGCTAGCTCTTGGCATCGGTAAGTGACGCTCAAATCTGCAGTCTGTCAGCCTGCTCACCTCCGCTATTCCCCAGTCTTGTCCGTTAAGGGGTCAGCGGATTTGTCTTGTGCAACCAATGCAACCTTCTGACTCCGCGATACCCCAGATTCATCATCGTCAGCCTGCTGCAGTACGCAGAGTCCACTGTTGTGCGTCTTTCGATTTTCATACTCCGGCTACGGGACCCAGCTGAGCGCGGATCTTGCTTACAGGGGATCCTGTCGGCCTGTGAGGCGGCGGCCATTGCTGCCGATGTGCTGCTCGCTGGAACGCTCACCGTGACGCTCTGGACCCAGGGGTATCAGCGCTCACGCCAGTCGTATGTGTGGCTCAGTGTTTCATCATGGCGTCCTCTGACGTTTCTCCGTAGGGAGTTCCCCACCACCGACCTCTTCATGACATACGTGGTGAAGACCGGTACGTCTAGTTCCGTTACTACGTAATGTGCATTACTGACGTGGTGGCAGGTCTCCTCACTGGGTACGAACTCCCCGTCATTCGATCTTCTAGCACGTATCCTTACTCTTGTCACCCGACTGCAGTATCTGCAACCTGCTTGCTTTGATCCTGGTGAGTGCCTCGCGCGGCTTTTAGTAAGGCGTAGTACGCTTACTTGTACACAGGCCCAAGTTTGGAAGCAAGCGTTGTTCTACTCTGCCGTCAACATCATCACCACTCGATGTGCGTAGTGCGCATCTTTCGGACGCTAGCTCTAAGCTCATCTCTCACTTTGCAGTCTACGCGAACACCCTTTTCGCTGTGTAAGTTCACGCATTCGGTTTGCCCTATCAGGCCATGGCACTTATGCGGTCACGTTTACAGGCTCAACTCGCGGGAGCTTATGGCGAACGGCCGGCTGGAGATCTTCGCGAACGCCGAAAACACCAGTTTCAACGCGTTTGCGCAAGCACACCGTGTCGCGCAGGCCCAGCAGTGGAACGCACCCTACGTAAGTTCTAGCATACCGCCACTGCGTCAGTGGCTGAATGGTCTCCTTTATATCTAGGCAAAGTCAACTCCCAACGCGATCAAGGTCAACGTGACCGCCGAGAGGGAGGACTATGTCCCCGACTCGAGCCGAGGCGGGAGCATGGTGTTCGACCGGAAGTCCGAGTCTCTCCCTGTTTAACGTGCCCTGCTTGTGGTGTGTGCAATTTCAACAATGCAACTATGAACTTACGGGGGATTGACCGAACCAAAGACAGGGTTTTATGGTTTAAAGCGGACAGTCTTTGATGGTTTTGCGCGGCCGCGGGAGCCCCTCCGCTGCCAGGCTTGTAGTAGCTCATCGCACATGTGTTGTAGTGTTGTCCATTAGCTCATATTATTATGTATCGTAACTTAATGTTCTGGCGGCGATCGAGGCGATACCCTCACAGTACCCGCGAGACCAACAGTCGTTGGAGGCGGTCGTCATGGTCGCAGCTAGCACAATACGCTCTGCAGGATTTGGACCGGTCCGTGAGCGCGTGCGGTACGTTTAGCGCCCATTAAGCGAGAAGGAAACGCAACTCTGCACCGAAGTTGCAGTGTGCTGCTCACTGCCGACCACGACGAGCTCGCGCTCTCGTCCGGCCACCAACATGCCTCCCCCACGCAGCGCCGCTCCCTCCGAGACCCCTACCAGATATTCACGTACCACGGCGCGTTCGACGACGGCCGGTTCCGCGTCCACCGGGATGGTCAAGCCTCGCGCATACTCGCTCGCCAGCAACGTCAGCGGGGTGACGACCATCGTGCCCGACAGGAAGAGCGCAAACAGCTCCCCCAAGACGGCCGACTCGGGCCCCCGCTCGTCAGACGCGACGCCAGTACCGCTTGGGATGCAGGCTCAGCGGCCGAGTCTTGCCAGGAGACTGAGCTCTGCCAACCCTCCGTCGCGTCGCATCTCCCTTCCACTCGCCCCCACGTCGTTCCTTGACCCCAGCAAATCCACCACGAGCATCTCCTCATCCCTCAGTAAGTCCACCACCATGCCGTCGCGTCACAACTCGCTCTCTGGCGCGAAGAGGCCAAGCGCGCCGTCTGTCGCCGCGTCGCGCCGTAGCTCGCGTTCGGTCGCCGTCTCGCTATACACGTCCGAGTCGGACACGCAGGTGAACAAGACCGTGCCCGCCACGCCGCGGGCGCGTGTGATGTCCACGCCCAAGCTCTCATTTCCGGTCAGCCCTTCCTCCAAGACGCCGCCCCCTGCCGTGCCCAAGATCCCAGCTTCTCCTGCGGATCTCCCGAAACAGGCTACCACCACCCCCAAATCATCTCCAATGAAGCCCCAGCGGACGCCGACTTCGAAGCCATCTCCGAAGGTCACGCCAGGGAAGGCGAGTACCCCTGGCCGGACGGCGAAGAACGGCAAGAGTCCCTCGGTTGCGGGCGCTGCTGCCAGGAATGGTTCGCGATCGTTCGACAGCTTTACCAGCGAGTCCCCTTCGATCCGCTTGACCACGGAAGATGAGCCATTCTGGGACGACGGCGACGACATGACGCTGGAGATGATCACGGATGTGAACGACGGCGAAGTGGACGAAGACGTACGTCTATGCTTGGCTCGCCCTCGCTACAGCACATGCTTCCTCTGCCACATGCTGACGCCGCGCCCCACAGATGCAAGGCGCGCTGGAGGGCGTGCACGGTCTTCACATGCGCAAGCTGCTGCACTATAAACGGCTACTCGAGCGTGCGCAGGCATCTTCTGCCGCGCAGCTGCACGCGCTCCAGGCGGAGGTCCGTATACTACGTGAACGCGAACGCACGCAGCAAAGCGGCGGCGCCATCATGGACCCCGACATCGATGGATACTGCGTCTGTGGCGGTAAGAAACCAAAGGGCTACTGGAGCGGGTATCGCGGAAGCGAAGACGATGGGATTGGTGGCGAGGTTGACTTGGCCACCGTGCTGAGGGGTGATGGTGGCGGCGGCTTCAATGAAATCGAAGTGAGGCGGGTGGTAAGAGGCTTAAGCCGTGACGACCGCATGCGACTGTAGGTCTCTGACACAGGAGTGCAGTCACTTTACTGACGGTGTCAACTAACTAGCATCTCTATCATCCTTGATTCCTGCATGCCGGGAGACATCCGTCTGCAGATTCTTCTGCTCGAGAAATACGCGAAGTCGACCTTCGACATCGTTGGTAACCTTGCACCGGACCTCGCACTGAAGATATTCAGATTCCTGAGCGTGAAGGAGCTCCTCGCGGTCGAGCCCGTTTCCAAGAAGTGGCAGGAGGTCGTGCACGCACCCGCGATATGGAGATACCACTGTTTGAGGATCACTGCGATGGACCCATTGCCTCTCAAGCCACCGGCGAAGCCACAGGGATGGTATGTGGTGAACAATTATCAGCGTGGGACCTCATTCTGAGGATTGGTGGTTTCAAGGGAACCGCTATACCGTTCATTACACCACCGCGAAGCCAACTTCCGCCATGCACTCCCTCAAAGCATCCGATTCCTGAATGGCCACACCAACTACTGCACAACTCTGCTCTTGCGCGGTAAGTACAGCAGATCACTAGGCGCCAGCCGTTTGCTTATGGCCGCATCAATATTTAGGCAAGCGGCTGATCAGTGGTTCATACGACGAGACCATCCGGTTCTGGGATGTCGAGACTGGGGAGATGAAGAAGTGCCTCCAAGTGAAGAAGCCCGTCAGCTGTGTCGATTTCCTTGCGGAGGAGGGTGCGTCGCCCTGTTGTACTATTCGCCGACGTTTGTGTTGACGCTGTTTAATCTGTGGTAGAGGTCTTCGTGGTCGGCTTCCACGACGTCGGGTAAGTAACACATCGATATGGTGGATAGTCGTCTGCGTGTCCATGCTTACACTATGTTCACAGTCGTGTGCACCTCTTCTCCTCTCTTACTTTCACGCCGCTGCAGCAACTCGCGGGCCACTTGAACGGTATCCGTGCGGTTGCGCTGTCGTCAAAGAACCTGGTCTCTGCAGGTGCGGACAAGGCACTTGTGTGCTGGGACTGGCGTGCGGGCACGAAGATCGTGCGTTTCGGCCAGCAGACCACTGTCAACATTGGTGTACAAATCATCGGGAGCAGCCGCGAGGAGGAAGGCGAGCGTGTCGTCAGTGTCACGATCGACGGGATCGTGCGCGTGTTCTCTATCAGTGAGTGTTGTTTCTGCTCAGACATCGTTGTTGTCGCCGCTGAACGGTGATTCCCGCAGAGCGAAGGGAGATGATGTCACAGTTCAAACTGAGCGAGCTGGGTTACGGCGATCCGTCGCTGAACGCGAAGCTCACGCAAGTTGGCCGCGCACCGGACAACATGCTTCAGTAGGTGCTTTTGTAGGACCCCACTTTTATAGCTATTGACACCTTGAACAGGTGGTTCGCTGCCAAGGGCACCCAAATGACTGTACGTAACAAGATTTCTATGCGGCATGCCGCAGCTGACCATCCATTTCAAAAGTGCGCTACGAAGTCCGTTATTCTCCACTTGCAGTGGCAGGAGGAAGACGAGGCGACGCCAGCGACCGCTGCCTCTCTAACTTCCCAGGAGGCTACGAGGCCGTCCACCCCATTGACACCCGGTGCGCTCAGCCCCGGCGCGATCGCCCGCCCGCGCACCATCTCCTCGCTCTCGCGCTCAGCATCATCGCTCTCCACCCCACAACGGCGCCAGTCTCTCGTGAACTCTACGAGCAAGAGCCCAGCCTCCTCGCTCACGGGTCCCAAGGGCCGGCTTTCGCTGAACATCTCAAGCGGTCCTCTGACGCCTACGTCGATGATAGGTTCGCCCCGCACGGGCACTCCTGTCTCGGCCCTCAGGGACTCGCCGTTTGCAGTCCGGTTTGGCCGTGCTGCTGTGCTCACCGCGCCCCCAAAGCTCGTCGCGGTGGTGGACACGCCCGATGTGGCTGTCGGAGCAGTGGACCCCAGGAAGAAGCGCGTCATCACCGCCACGCGTTTCAGCACGCGCGCAGGCGCAGCACGCACGGTGAGTGTCTCCGCTGCACTGGTATGTCGTGCGTCAACTCATGGGCACTGTGCAGCTGTACATGTCGCAGCATCGTGACAAGGAAGAGGTAGCGAAGGAGGCCGCGAGCGACGACGACAGCGACGGGCCGAAGTCGGACGGCCCGCGCACGCCGTCGCCCGGGGTGGATTTCGACACGGACATCCTGCCCGTGACGGGCGCGTGGTCCGCGCTCGCGCACGAGGACGCCGCGTCCGCGGTTGGTGTGAAGGGTGTGAAGGGCCAGCTGCCTGCGAAGTTCCAGGGCCTCGCGACCCCGGAGAAGAACCCGATGTCGATGCAGCTGAGCCACGAGGAGGTCGTCGTTGGCTGTGCGGACGGCACGATTTAGTGCGTCTTTTCCGTAACTCCGTATCGTTGAGAGGATGTTGACAATGGTGCCTGCTGCAGCGTCATGAGCTTTGTTGGATACGACTACCAGAAGGAGCGCGCGTCTCTTTTCGCGGAGCACTCTATCGCGGAGGAAGACGAGTCGCCGGTGGAAGAAGACTGAAAGTCGGAATGGCCTTGTTCAAAACTGCGGCCGCTATCCGGAACATGCACACACCATCACCTCGGACGCTGGAAGCACATATCTATTCGTCCTGTCGTCGTCGCTCTGCGGATCCGTTACACTCGTCGTTACTATGCGCGTTCGCTTGTTTATGCCGGAAGGATGGCCCGCTACTCTACTTAGTATCGTTCTAGTTATTCGCTCGCTCGCTTTGTTGCCCACGTCTCCTTTACGCTCACGGATTAATCTCACCTGATGACAAGTATTTCTTGGTCTGCTAGGCGGTCTATCGCTAAAGTGCTAGAATACGGCTGCAAGTGGTGGAGGTGTTGGCATTCCAAATTGGGAACGCAAGAGCTTCCCGATGGATCTCGATCGTATAGTCCACTGACGACAGCACAGCGACGTCATGGTCGATCGTCATCCCCGCATACAACCTGCAATGGCGCAATGGCGGCGCTGTGATTGGCCAGGCAGGTGGAGAGCCTCTGAGGCTCATAACTGACATAACTCGCTGCAGATGCCGCAACGCATCCAACACGAAGTGCTTATAATGCTCGCGACTCGTCCTGCGACTCAGCTCACCCGCACCCTTCGCCCTCTTCGTCTCACCAACTTCACATCCATATTGAACTCCACAAACCGTCGAACGATGTCTACCTTGTTCGAATCCATCAAAGAGGACCATGAAGAGGTAGGCGAATAACTCGGAGTGGCCCGAATATATATCACTCACACTGCGATACAGATGTATGAGTACCACGACCAATATAAACGCGCCTGGGACCGCAGCGACGTGGATGCGCAGGCGCGGTGGGCTCGGCAATTGACATGGGAGATCGCGCGACACGCCGTCGGCGAGGAGATCGTCGTGTACCCTCTCATGGAGCAGCACCTTGGCGAAAAGGGCAAGAAGCTCGCCGACCACGACCGCGAGGAACACCAGGTGCGCTACCGTCATTTAATGACGCGCCATAGCGATGCTCATGCACGCCTCTTGCAGTCTGTGAAGGAGAAGCTCTACAAGCTCGAGTCTCTACAACCTGGGAGCTCGGAGTACCACTCGCTCATCACGACCATGATGGAGTCTCTCCATCACCACAATGACGACGAAGAGATCAAGGACCTGCCCATGCTCGAGCCCATCATCGGTGAGCAGGCGAGCAAAGACGCTGCACTGAGCTTCAAGAAGACGAAGAAGCTCGTCCCCACAAGGTCAGTCCACCGCCAAGCTCAATCTCCAGGACTATTCCAGGCTCACTCGGTGTTGCACTACAGGACACACCCCTCCATCCCCAACAAGCCTCCATTCGAGACGCTGCTGGGGCTGCTCGAGGCGCCAATCGACAAGATCAAGGACTACTTCGCTTCTTTCCCAACCGCGGACGAGATGAAAGAAGCCAAGGAAGAGCTCAAGCACCGAGACCATGACGCTGCTGCTGGCAGGGGGGGCCAATAGGAGTGGCGTTTGGTTTCACGGACTGGAGGACATGTACGACGTTTGTATAGTAGCTTGCTCACCGGAACATATATAGTTACACTCAATACAGCCAGGATCTGCATCGCGAGACAACCAGAGGATATTTTGTCTATCCTTGAAACCCTAGTAGTCGCGTTAGAGACTTCGCAACACGACAATGTGCTTCATACCTGATCAGACCTCGTCATAGACCTCAGACACCCTCTGCAGCGCCCGCTGCGTGTCCGCCCACTCCCCCAACACGCTCGCTAGCATACTCCCGTCCTTATCCTCCCCCTCACCCACACCGCCTATCTTCTCACCCCCACCCTCATCATCGTTCCCGTCCGAGCCGCTCCCCGTCTGCTCCCCGTCGCGCGTGTCGGACGAGTCCGACGCGAACAGCAGGTCGTGGTCGAGCTGCGTCCCCAGCGGGCTCACGAAGCTGTCCACGAAGCCGCGCACCGTGCCCGTGTGCGCGGTCCCCGACTGCGTGAAGTGCGAGCGGTCCGCGAAGTCGAGCGCGCTGTCGGCCGCCGCGCCCGGGTCGGACGCGCTCCCGCACGGCTCGTCGCGCGCGGCGAAGTCGACTTCGCGCAGGTTCATGAGGAAGCGTGAGATGAGGATCGCGGTGAGGCTGTACGGGGGCGTTAGCTACTTAGGCAGATGCGAGGAGCGCGGGGCGTACGGTTCCTCGAAGGTGGTGATGAAGTTCGCTTGCTGGGGGCGGGACGGAAGCCTGTGATTCAGCCTATTTATCGTCAGAATGAAGCGAAGGGAGCTTACAGCGGTGATCCTGACGATGATTTGCAGGATGTTGAGGATAAGGAGAATGCTAGAAAGAGGACCAGTTAGCGGGCCTCGGCCTGTTCGTGCTTCGTCGCTTGTTGCCTACACGAAGTATATAGTTCCTATCAAAGCAGCATGTCAGCAATCGCTGCACCGTCTAAATACTAGTATTCTGTCGGAAGATGTCACGAACCGTCGCGCAAGAGAAGCTGCAGGAACGTCGTTCTAACGTTAGCCTGGGCAGCGGAGACGCGGAACCGCCATGTCCGCCACCAGGTGACGCCAATGACGAGTGCGTCGGCAATGATGAGGCAAATACGCGTTGCAGTCGTCCCTGGAGGTGGTAACAAGTGAGTGGCAAGTACGGCTTGCGCGATATGTGCAAGCGTACAGCTGTTAAGAGCGAAAGTCGTCAGAGTCTTATCGGGGATGAGGGAGGTGAATGAGCGTACTGGTCGATAAACGTAGGAGTGATGCCCGGGAACGTCGGGATGCAGAAAATCGGCGCGGGAAGGTTGATGGGGACGATTTTGACGAAGTTGTACTGGACAGACGCGTGAGCTGCGAGAAACGCACATCTATGGGTTCCCTGAGCGGCTTACGATGTTGTAGCAGGCGGTGGTGATGGAGAGAAGGAAGACCAATACGGCGATCGGCCAGGTGCGGTTGCTCATGGCGTAGGCACGAAGGGCAGAGAACGCTGTGCACGGGGGGAAATCAGCGGCGGGGACGGATGCGAGTTCAAGGGGGGGAACCACCTGCCCAGACGAAGTACGGCGCGATGCTAAATACCGCAAGCACGCGGTTGAGAACTAGGCAGCTATATGCGCCGACAGGTACGCGTTGTCAACGGCGGCGACTCAGAAAAGGTGACCAGTTCATACCTCTGAATCACCCCGAGTATCAGCTCCCTATACTCAAACGAGAGATGTCGGGGGGAGTGTTAGACGTACCTCATCGGATATGGTGAAGGAGAGCGGGAGCTGCACCGCAAACTGCACCAGCATGATGTAGCGATTGAGCAAGAAGAGCATCGAGGCGCTGTTGACTTTGCGGCTCCAGACGAGGGCCACCTCGCGGTCGAAGGTGATCACATATTCCCATACAAGCCATGCTGGTCACATTCTCATTGAGATGGATAGCAGATGTGAGGATCGGACGAGGCAGGCGTACCGACCGCTCCTAGAAATGTGAGGTTGTAGGTGTAGCTAGAAAACGAGCTGGTCAGCGGAAAGCTGGTAAATTTGGCAGAGGTGAAATGCGGCTCACGTCGACGCAAAGTCAGAGACGAGCTCCGCGGGTGTCTCTCCGAATGAAGACATTTTGTGAAGCGAGCCGCTTGTAGCACCGCTGTCCGCTGGTCTCCGGCATAGTGCCGCATATCTTATACACCCCTCTCTGATCACAGCCGTCAATTTCTCCAGAGTCCGTCCATGATGCTAGTATCCGTCAGTGTCCGTCCATGTCGCAGGACGACGCTTCGACCAGAGTTCTGCTAAAGAATATCTATCACGTTGAGAGGCTTCTGCAAATCGAGGTTGCTGGCGGTGACCATTGAGAGGACATATTTCCCATAGCCCTTCATGTGCCATGGGACCAACCGCTTTGACATGTGAGCGCACCGGTATGCCCGCACTGGGCGCGCACCCTTTCAAGTCATTCTAGAACTTGGCTCAGGGTCTCTGGAGCTGGTCGCGTTGGTTCTCGCATCCGGCACCGCATACTTGGGTATAGATCTTGATGAGCCTGTACTTCCTCATGAAGCGTGAAAATCGGAACATACCTCTCGGTGGTTGTGCCCCAAGAACAACGATGCTTGCTGGCAAATTACATCACGCGCAGCTGCGAAGACGAAGGACTCTGTCAAGGCAATCAGCTTCTTCAAGACGCCAGACCCTTCATATGCACCATAGAAGGACGACGTCAAGACGGCGGTCATAGTATCCAGCGATTTCCAACCTGATTGGTCGGATGTTCAACCGTGAAAGGCCTGCACCAGGATTAGCGCGATGCTGAGAACGGGCTCCCAAAGCGGCCGGAAAGTCTCAACACGAAGGTGGTTGTGTTGTCGTTTCAGCGTTGCGCGGGCCCCTTCGCACTGACATCTAGGGAAGACAAACTGCGCAAAATCCAGACAGATTTGTTCTAATCGTGACAGAGAAGTGAGTATTTACTGTGGGTGGATTCGTGAGGGGGCATGTTGGCGGCATATTTTTGAATAAACGTCACCATATGTAAACGCCCGTGGTTCCCGGCCACCCGCATTGTCCTTGAATCAAACCACACTGAAATATTCCGATACGATTGCGGTACAGCCCGAAGTTGGCTTCGCCGTACGGCAGTTGTAACAGGCTGTCTCGGCATTGCGGCGCACTAGCTGTGTGCGTTCTCACAGTGAGAAGTAACCGTGAGATGTTATTTCACGAGAATGAATCAATCGCATATACTACGATTCGCGTGGCGGTAGCGGGTTTGGCAGGGTCTAGGAATGATTGACGGTTATAGTCGAAGGTATGAAGGACAAGGACGCGACGAACCTGCACTGCGACAATGCACCTGATAGAACTGATCCTCCACTCAGGGGGGCTGTATGCTATTCAAAGATGACATTTCCCGGTTTATTCAGGTGACTCTGTCACCAACACCAGAGGTTTGAGAGCCTGGCTAGTACTGCAAACTCGCGCGTCGAGGAAGTCGTGGAGCCTCGGAGGCTAGCCTCGGCCGCTCGCAATGCTCGAGCTCCAAAGTACTAGTATTAGTTGCTTGATTCAAGCGCAGCGCGTGTTTCACATAGATACTGGTGTCCCCAGCATCTCCGCAGCACGCAGACGTACAAACTTGTGTGTTGGGTTGTGGGTGCAGCGGACAGGAAGTGGAATGGTACAAACTAGCAGCGGTGCCGACCGCTTAGCATGTCGACGTCCAAACACGCACCTCGCTAAGCGGCGCCTGTTCCTGACAACGGCTGCTTCCGCCGTTCACCACAGTTCCACCACCATGCTGAACGCTGCTTAACGCCGCTCCCTTCTTACTCTGCGGCATCCCACGACGGCTCACTCAGCTCGGTCGGCATGCGCGATGTCGCTGAAGTTCCCCCGAGAGGAAGCATCGTACGGGATCTATGGGTCTCCAGTAGGAGAAATACAGCGGTCCGGTGACCCTTCTATCACGCCCACGCCCCAAGATAACACAGCCCAGCGCTCCAACGGCGCCTTGCCGTCCTCAGCTAGCCTCGAGGAGTCCGAGGGAGTCCGACGGTGTGAGCCTTGCGCAGAGTGCGTGCGCAAATCGTGCGCAACAGGCTGCGTTCCCCCTCCACGATGCTCCTGCCAGCCCTTGTCCCCCTCGTGCTCGCTGTCTCCCTGAATCTTGCGGTAGGAGCTGCGGATCCCAGCAGTGGCAAGGATAGCGCCTCCAAGTTCCGCCGGCTCGAGAGCCTGACAAAGCAGTGCAAGTTTACGCTCGGCGGGCAACAATTCGACCTGTGCCCCGTCCTGGAGGGGAACGAAGGAGGGTGGACAACCGAGATCGAGCGCAAGACGCCGCCGACGGTCACGAAGACGTCATACCAGATCGCGTTGCAGGGGCCCCTGGCGAAGGACAAGAATGCGACCAAGTACGATCAGGTCAGTCGCCGCGATCCTCGTAAACTCTGCGCGACGTGCGTGTGCGATCGTCGCAAGGCGCGGGTGCATCTTTGCTGTCCAGGGCCTGTCCTACACCCGCTGTCTTCATACCGACCGGCCTCATGAAAAGAACTCCCCATTTCTTCCGAGCAATGATGAGGTTTTGAGGCGGAGATCCAGGGAGAGGCACTCAACCTCTTCGTGGCCGGTTAGGTCCTGTCAATCTCCCCTAGCGTGATATGAGAACAGCTGGTAGCGCGGATAGATAATTCTCGGATTTCGCGTCTTTATGCCATGAACTAGCATTGACACACGTGCGTACGTAGTGCCCTCCCGGGACCTGGATATGTCAGATCGGTGAGCCACACTCTACCTCCATCCGTCGACTTGTGGCGCTTACTGCTTATGCTCTTCTTATGCAATAGTAACAAATCGCCGCCCGCTCTTCCCCGACGAGGAGCCGCGCGTTCTGCAAACGGTCCCGGTCGCAGGTGCGATGAACCTTCCGAACGTAACTAGGTATCACCCCGGTGTGAACATCACCGCACAACTTGCGCCCGGCCGCCAGGAAGACGCGAAGCACGGTGCGCGTTCTCCATATAGCTCGCGCTACGGGGCAAGCCCGCTCACAGTCCGCCATAGACGTCCTGCACGTTCGCCTGCACGGCGGTTACTACGTGTATGGCCCACAGAAGGCCGATCTTCAGTTCATTTGCGACCACGGCGTCGACGAGGTCCGTAAATCGCTTCTTGACGGGGACGATCGCGCGCTGACTATAACCATGATGCCTAGCCGACCAAGCCGTCCTACGCATGGTCGTGGAACGGGACGCACACGTTCAACTGGCGCACGAAGCACGCGTGCGGCAAGCAGCTGTCCCCACCGGCGCGGACAGGTACCGTAACAGCATCGCCCGGCCCCAAACCAACGTCCGGCGCGCCCACAGACTCAGAGCCCGCCGAAGACGCGCCCCCAGACGACAACGAGGGCGTCCCGGACAAGTCCGAGCAGGACCTCGCAGACAAGCACCCGCTCCTGGGGCGCGCGTCGCGCCAGACGCTCGTTCTGCTCCTTTCGTCGTTCACCGCGGTGCTCGCGCTCGTGTACGTCGCGTGGTTCCCACCTGCGCGCGTGCGCCAGGCCGTGTCGCGCTTCATGAAGGCGCACCCGCGCCTCGCGCGTTTCCGCGTGGGAGAGCGCGTGCTCATGCGCTGGGCGTACGAGGACCTCGAGATGGAGGACGGGTATGGGTATGGGGAGGGCGAGGAGGACGTGATGGTCAACTATGCGCCCGAGGTCGAGGAGGGCATCCCGCTCAAGCCGTCGCCGCGGCTCGGCGGGTTCGCAGGATATGGGGCCGCGTAGCGCAAGGTGCAGCGCCCTCTGCTGCCGCCGTGGGTTTGAGATCGATGTGTGTAACGTGTAGATGTGTACGTTTCGCGTGCTGCGATGTATCCCGCTGTAGAATCTGTGTTGTAGAGTACGTTCGCCTTTTCTGTTGTATAGTTGTTGTATAGCTGCAAAGCAAAACATGTACCAAGCTATGCATCTGTTTGCCATCCGCCTGCGTGGCTTTCCTTCCACTTCAAGATATCATGATCTATGCGACCACGTTTGACTGCCCTTTTATCGAAGTAAGCTTACGAGAATTTCTGGCCAGGCATAACTCCTCCCTCTCCCCCTTCTGCCCGGAAATGGATGTCTGGGTCGATGTACAGTTCGTTCACGTTAACCGCGTGAGGGTGACATGCAGGGCAGGACCCTGACGCCCCGGGCCCCGAGAACTGCGGGTATGCCAGAACTCTCTTTCAAGTTTCGATCCGTTTCCCGCAGCGTCTACATCCTGACACATCTGTCGACGAGCGAACGCGCATTCTCCGGACGGGACCCATCGCAGGCGTGTGGACCCTCCGAGCACCACCAAGTACCGCATGGTGCGCGAACGCCACGACACAGCTGTCTCCTTCCCGTCGGGAAGATGTGAGGCACGCTCCCCATACATGGTTAAGGCAAGACACGCTTGTTCATCCCCTGAGTCAAGGAGGATATCCCGTTTAAACCCGACACTGAAGCGCGGTGTGCCCCCAGGGGTGGCGTCCTGCTTCCGTCGCGGTTTCGGCATGGGCTAAGATGCGCTTGTATCGCGCCCTGTGGTGTACCCCCTGTGAAATCGGTGCTGTGAGCTCCTTGAGCTTCTATCTTATTGCCATCAAACATATTCTGTACACACCTGCCGAGTGTGGGCAATATCCTGCCTCCATTTCAGCTAGCAGGGTCCATGTGATTCAGCGATCATCCCACTCATACGGTTCATAACCATCCAATGACATACACAACACGCCGAGGGAGATAGCGTTGAAAAGACTACTGTACAATGGGAATATATCGGACCAATACAGCTGGCAGAGTTCTGGTAGGTCAGCCCCAAGCGGCAGTCGTACTAGACATGCAACTGTGGTAAATATCAGAACGGCATGCATATGTCTGGACTTACCTGTAGTTGACTATTAGATGGCCTTCCGTTGAAAATGACTGTGATTTGACTGAGCGTCGGACGAGGTGGGACCTGGCGTGGCATGCTCACCTTGAACAGATTGGCGACGGTATCATCGGGGGCGGGCGAAAACGCGAGATTGATATACGTGAACTGACATACGAGGACAATCCGTCAGCGACAGAATACGCATCGCGCGCACGGGGAGCGCACCAGAGGATCGCCTTGCTTCCACCCCAGCTCCTTGCGTAGGAACTGTATCACGGCCTGGAACCTGTTCGACGCGGTGATCTTGTAGAAGTTCTGCTTCATTATCGGCGCATTTCCCACTGCCTTGAAGCGGACAACGACTGCGCGTAGGGTGCACAAGTCAGCTCTCAGCCTGCGCACCTCGGTGCATAATCCGGTGCGCTGTGCACGCACCCTTGTTGCCGTCCTTCTTCTTGTACGAATCGAGCGCCTCCTGGGCCTCCTGCAGGGTGCTTCCACCGTCAGAGTACGTCCATGCTGAGGGCAGAGCGCGGGCATGGGGCTCTGGGCTTCCGCGAGTCAAGGCCATGCGAGCGCGGTGGACGCTGACACTGAGTAGGAGTTCAGGATGCGGGCGTCTACTGCGTCGTCGCGCTCGGCGTCCTGGGTGGGCGGAGCGCCGGTCCGGGTCCCCGGAGTACAAGCGTCAGGACCCCGCGACACGCTGCCGTGTCCAGGGTCCGATCAAGCAACTCCAATGTCGAGTTCGCAGATCGGACGCTCCTCCTCCACAACCTTTGCGCATCCCAGCGCGCGCGCACTATCTCCATGTTCCGCCACACCGCCCAGCTAGCATCGCATGCATGTGTACGCCGACAACATACTGGGAAAGCGGCTTGCGGACATGGGAAGTCGCTGCGCAATGTGGTACGTTGCCAGGCCACACAGCCTGAGGGCACTCATTTCTGTTCATGTTCATTTAGATGAACCATATCCACACCACCTCGGCTGAGCCTGGAAGTGCGGCACTGGCAGAGTCCTGATCATTTTACTGGGGACCTTTACCTTTTCACCCGTTGGACCAAACCTGGGGTCTCGAAGGGGTATGCCATACCTAGCCCGGACTCAGAAGTGCCGCCCTCGAGACCGAACAGGCTACAGTCAATGTCCGAGCCCCTTGGGGGCTCGTGAGGAGGCCTTCTGCGGCAGTGGTCCGGACGGATGGCAGCGGAAGCTTGGCGTTTATCAGCGTACATTGTGATGCACGTTCGTAACTGCCCGCTTTGACATGGCCATTTGTTGAAAATATTGCCCTGGGGCTCGTTGCGCGCGTCAGAGCGAAACGAGCCCCTGGGGTTTGTACAACTATTATTCATATTTTGTGGAATCTTTCGAGGTCGTGTATGCCGTCCAGACCACCGAAGGATCGTCTGGAGGGTCTTGAGCGCAATCCGGACCAAAATGGCCTGCGAAAGGTCGCCGAGCTCTCCGGAACATGCAGTCTGAAAGGCGTCCATGGGCAAAAGCCTCTGTTAGGATTATCTGAGGTCCTGGCACTGGATGAATGTAGAGGTTATACCTTCCCTGGGATTACCAAACCACAACTGGGGTGAGCGAACGGGTTTTTGGACGCCAACTCCCTTACTGAATTTCCTTGGTGTGGAGAGTTTGGAGGTAAACGCCGCCCGAAAGGAGGGCTAGCAGACGAGGCACAAGGACGTCTGCATACGCCCTTTAACCCTGATCTGCAGAGCACACGACATCACGCAGAACAGCATCAAGCCCTCTAGCCCAGGCTCTGCGAATAAAGTGAACAGAACTCAGTACCCTTTACTACATTTCCTCGCTCGCCCGTCGCGGATGTTGCGCGGGGCCTTGCTATGACTCAGGGCCGCCATGTGGACGCTCCTGGACCCTTGACGGGCGTCCAGATGTTGCCTAGATCCAGTACTAGTGGCCATAATCGGATTGTAGGCCTGCCCGCGGCGCGTTTAGTAAGTTTGCGCTCATATTTAGGATCCTTTCGAGATGAAGCGCCTGATGAGACAACTCCACAGGGTGATTCGGGCGCAGCAGAGCTTGCGTAGGCCCTGTAGCTCTCGCGAGTTGTGGACCAAAAACGGACGTTCGGATCTACAGAAGGTTGCCCTGTCAGGGCCTTCAGCCAACATTGACAGCCGTGCCAAGCATTGTCGGCGGGCTGCAGTGCGAGGCTAGTCGAACAGCGCTCAAGACGCGCCCACATCCCAATGCAAGCAGCCGTTTCACAGGGACAATCGAAGATGCGGTGCACGGCAGTCGGGTCGCAGCTTTCGGCCACGCCCGACGGGGTCGTCTGTTCCACAGACATGTTCGAGACAATTTCATCGCTGGTATATCGCGCTTAGCCCGCTTTGATTGTGGCAGCCATGTTGATGAAACCAACACACTGCCGCATAGCAGCTGAGACAGTTTTGTATATTGCAGGAAACACTCGTCCGATGGGAGCATGCATCAGGAAGGTGAGCGTCAGGCTCTGGGCGCGTCATTAGAGTTGGCTTCTTAATGCCGACCGCAGAAAGTCGATTGCCCAACTTCCCGCTCTGTCTCCCTTGCCATACGGACTTGCGATGACACAACAATCCCCAGTCGCAGTGGCCGAAGAGCTTCTCCAGCTGGTCAAATTACTCCACCCGGTGGCTGCTTCTGCCGATGCGCGTGACGCGCAGAAGATGTACGACGCTCGAAAGCGAGTCCAGCAACTGTCCAACAGTATTACGCGAAGCGTCTGCGGACCGCTCGAATATACCGTCCTTCTCGCAGGTGAGCGCAGTGTCTAGATTAAACCAGTGATGTTGTTTATTGATGGGTGTGTGTAGAATCCTGTCATGAGAGCGCAGCTCTACGCTTTGTCACAGAATACGGCGTAGCAGACGCGATTGGCGACGGGTCCAAGTCGCTGTTAGACATATGCAGCGAAGTCCAAGTCAACTTCAGATACATGGGTCCGTTCTCGGACATGCGCCTCGGAATACTCCGCCTGACGCTCGGTCGGCGATACAGATGTCGCGATGAAGTGTCTATGCTCCCACGGCTACTTCGAGGAGGTCGGCGGTTTCAACACCAGGGTCTTCAGAAACAACGCCATGTCCGAGGTGCTTCGGACGGAGCATCCACAGACCCTGAAGGACGCCATTGGGTTCATGTAAGTCGCTTCTATCCTCCCCCAATGGCGATAATCTTCTGCAGACGCTAATCTCCGTGTCCGGAAGTTGTGACGAGGGAGGAAAGGCCACTTCTTATCTTGTGGAGGCGGCACGCACTACGCCTTCTGTGGTCGATAGTCCGACTCCAGCGGTAAACCTTGCCTTTGGTTTCGAAGGGCCGGTATTCCAACACTGGGCGGAAGGCGCCCATGCTTGGCGCGGAAAGCGACTCGGCCACGCGATGAAGCAGCTTCATCAAGTCGCCAACGGTAACGTTATCGCTGGTGAGGCATACAGTCCACCTATATCGCTCGTCGAACTCCGCGGCCGACTTCTGAACGATGTTTACAGACTTCCAGTGGTCGGCGTTGCAATCGCCGGTTGTTGACGTCGGAGGCGGCATCGGAGCCCTAGAGCTCGCCCTGGTGAGAGCGTATCCCGACTCCGCCGTAAACTTTGTCGTGTTCGATATCGCCGAAACGCTCGGGCACGCGAGGACGGTGCGCGCCATAGTCGAACTGCCACGATAGCGACTCACCGTACCCCATCGTAGGTGTGGGAGGCGCAGCCTCATGACGCCCGACGCCGCGTCTCTTTCGTGGCGGGCAACTTTCTCGCGCCGACGCTTGCCGCAACGCGCCTTCCGTGCGGCCAACCCACGTACCTAATCCGACATGTCCTGCACGACTGGACGGACGAGCAGGTCATCGCCATCCTGCAAAACGTGCGTGCCGCCATGCTGGCGCCGCCGCCCGCTGAGAACCCTACGTCCGACCACGGCATACGCCCGGTGCATCGTGCGCCCGGCGGGGCGCCGAAGCTGCTGCTCTGCGAGATGCTGCTCCAGAAACGCAGCGGGCGGTTCGCCTACACGACCAGCCTGCAGGTACTCGCGCTGAATAATGGAATCATCCGGACGGAGGCGGAGATAGTGGACCTCCTACAGCGGGCTAGGTTCAGGGTGGTCGTCGCGCACGCCATGCGCGCAGTGGACACGATCATTGAAGCCGTTCCGTTGGATGTGTAGGTTACGTTGGGCGCGGATTAATGCACGCACCGACCCTTTGCGTTGCGGGCATCGCTGTCGCGCGAGGGAAACGACTTCTGCGGAAGCTGAGAAATTTCCACCGTCCTCGGTGCCTACGATCAGGTCCTGCACGCGGTGTGCGGCGATGGCGACCGCGGCGGTCCCGTAGAGGTTAGTACATTGACGCTACACACTGTCAAAATACACAAAGTAGTACGCCCGAATTGGGCACATCCAATCCTGAGTAGGCTTTCGGACCTTCATTGATAGGCCAAGCTCTGACGTATGCTCCCGTTCGGCCGCAGAAGATACTCGGAGTGGACGCCTTGCATCGGCGGGGCGGGAGCACTGTGACTCGGCCTGTCCGATGGGCGAGTCCGTCCGTACCTGTGGGACCGGCGGGAGGGCGGCTATCTGCCTCAGAGACCCGTCCCGAGGGAGCACATCAACAGTCCGAGCGCTCTTTCTGCTCATCCAAGGAATCGGTGGCTTCCGCGTCATTGCAGGGCTGCAAACGTATCACCAGCGGCATTGCACAGCGCTGTGAAGTGCAGGCGCACTGCGATAACCAATGCGTTTCCCCTTGCGGATAGCCCGTTGGACATACGTCGGCAGACCTGGACCTATAAAGATGGCCGCCTTGCCCTCCAAATCGACAGTGCGCCGCCCCTCACTGCACAGGATCCCTCTAGACTCCCCTTAGAAACCCAGCAACAGCCACTATGAGCCTTCCATTCTCTACCCTTCCCGCCCTGCTCGCCTCGAAGTCGCAAGAGAGCGACGTCGGCGTGCGCTTCCTCGACCACAATGGGGACGTCTCCAAGGAGCTCTCCTACGCTGCCTTGTACAAGGACGCGTTGGATGGCTCGCGCCGCTTGCAGGCCTTGTGCGCTAGCCTTCAAAACACCGACGTCGACGCCGTGATCGCGAGCTTCGCGGACCACGAGCAGCACGTCAGGCTCTTCTGGGCCTGCACCTTCGGTGAGCTGTCCTTGTCGTCTTCACTGTTCAATCACCTTGCTGACTGCTTGCAGCTGGGATTCCTGTCTGCCCGATCCCGCCGCTGCACCCTGATCCGTCACGGCAGGCCGCCTTCCTCGGGCATCTTCAAACGCTTTACCGGAACCCCATCATGGTAACGGACGATCCAGTGACGATCGAGCGCGTCAAGAGCGTCACCCCAGGCCTGCAGACCGTTCCGTGGACGGACTTCCTCTCGCAGCCTTTCAGTGGCACAGCCCCCGCTGCGGAAATCTCGCCTGACACGATTGTCTGCCTGATGCTCACGTCGGGCTCTACGGGAAACTCGAAGGCCGTCGCGCTGCGCCACTCCAACCTGCTGTCCAGCATTTACGGCAAGATCAAGCACCACGAGACGACGTCGCAGTCGCGCTTCCTCAACTGGATCGCGTTTGACCACGTTGCGTGCGTTTCAGAGGTCCACCTCCAAGCCTTGGCGGCGAATGCGATGTAAGTGCATATGTTCCTGAAACCGTCAATAGTCAGATTACTGACTTGTCGAATTACTCTAAAAGCCAATACCACGTGTCGCCTTCCGCGATCATCCACCGCCCGTTCAACCTCCTGGAATGGACCAGCCGCTACGGCATCACCTACTCGTTCAGCCCCAACTTCCTCATCGCCCAACTGTGCCGTGACCAGACCGTTGCGGCTACGCCCGCCGGTGCCCTCGACCTTTCTGCGCTCGTCGCCTTCATCTCCGGCGGCGAGGCGGTTCCCTTGAAGACGGCCATAGAGTTCGCCAACCTTCTGGAGCGCTTTGGCGCACCGCGCAATGCCTTGCGCGCCGGCTTCGGCATGAGCGAGACTGGTGTACGTATTCCGATGACTTCTTCTGTGCTTGCGCTGACAGGCACGTTTCTCCATTTCATAGGCTGGTTGCATTTACGACACCAACCCCATCCCTCGCGAGGAATCGGGAGTCGCAGCGAAGTATCTGTCTCTCGGCCTGTGCTGCGACGGTGTCAACGTGCGCGTCGTTTCCCGTGAGACTGGGGAGCCCTGCCCTGCCCTGGAGCCGGGCCTCCTGCAGCTCAAGGGCCCAAGCGTCTTCCGCGAGTACTACAACAACCCGCAGGCGACCGCTGAGAGCTTCACCGCGGACGGCTGGTTCACGACCGGGGACGGCGCGCTGCTCGACCGCGACGGGAACATGCACATCGTCGGCCGCGAGAAGGACCAGATCAACATCAACGGAGTCAAGCACCCCACGGTCGACGCGGAGCATTTCATCGAGATCGGCGACATCGAAGGCGTCACGCGGTCCACGGTGATGGTGTGCCCCATGCGCGCCCCTGGCGGCGACACGGAGACATACGCAGTGTTCTACCTCCACCGCACAGTTCCCGTCGAGGGCGAGTTGAGCGAGGAAGATGTTGCCAGCTTGTACGCGACGAACCGCGCCATCCGCGACCGTTGCATTGTGTTCTGCTCGCAGGGTCCCTACACCGTCCTTCCGCTTCCCAAGAAGTGCTTCACCAGGACCACGCTCGGCAAGGTCTCGCGGGCTGTTCTGCTCAAGGGCTACCTCGCCAACGAACATCGTATGCTTGAGGAACGCCTGCAATCCGTGTCTGCCAGCGGCCCGCCCTTGACCGAGTGGGAGGAGAAGGTGGCGAGTGTCGTTGCGCAGCTCCTCGACGTCGACACGTCTGGCATGTACCGGTCCTCCAGCCTGTTCGACTTGGGTATGTCCTCGATGCACCTGGTGCAGCTCAAGTACCTCCTCCAGGAGGCGCTGAACATCCCTGACATCCCTGTCATCGACATGCTCCGCCACCCCGAGCTCGGACAGCTGTGCGACTACCTCGAAGAGGCGGTCAACGCGTCGAAGAACGGGACGGCGGTGTCGCGGTACAACCCGGTCATCTGCCTGAACCCGCATGGACACAAGCGCCCCGTCTTCCTTGTGCATCCCGGCGTCGGCGAAGTCCTCGTCTTCATGGGCCTCGCCCACGTCATCCACGACCGTCCGATCTACGCGCTCCGCGCCCGGGGCTTCGACCACGCCGAGGAGCCGTTCGCGACGTTCGAGGAGATGGTCGAGACGTACGTTGACGCGATCGTGCGCCAGGACCCTGAAGGCCCGTACTACGTTGGCGGCTACAGCTTCGGTGGCGCGGTGGCGTTCGAGATGGCGAAGGTGCTCGAGGCGCGGGGCAGGAAGGTCGCCTGGGTCGGCATCTTCAACCTTCCCCCGTTCATCCAGAGTCGCATGCACGAACTGCGTTGGATCGAGGTTCTGCTCAACCTCTTCATGTTCGTCGCGCTCGTCACGCCCTCCGGACTGGACGGCGCTCGCCAGATGACGATCGAGCAGTTCCCGGAGCTCAAGCACTTGGATACGGAGCCCCCGAACAGCATGGAGGTGATTGAATGGCTGCTCGCGCACTCGGACCAAGCACGCCTTGCAGAGCTCCAGCTGCGCGCGTACGAGCTGCAACGGTGGCTCGTCGTCGCGTTCCAGCTCACCTGCCTCGGCCGCACGTACCTTCCAGTGAGCACCGTCCGGGGCGCGCTGATGACGGTGTTCTGCGCCGTGCCCCTGCCGTCGATGGGCACGCGCGAGAGCTACAAGGCGAACCGCTTGGCGCCGTGGAAGGACTTCTGCGACGGCGAGTTCGAGCTCGTCGACGTCGACGGGGAGCACTACACGATGATCTCGGACGCCCACGTCCACTCCTTCGCTAAAAACCTTACCTCCGCAGTGGACCGTGCCACCGCCAGGCTTCTCTAGACTTCCGCATCGCTGTTTTGTCGACTAAATAGAATAGTGCTATCCGCAACGCCAAGTTTCCCTGCAACGCTGTACCATGCTTACTCCACCTTTCGCAGAGCCTTGAATGTACGATAATTAGCGGCGTCCACTCCTGTATTTTTCACCAGCCAATCACACAGTTTTCTATCGCGCGAAGCTTGCTCGATGTGAGGAGTACATTCGAAAAGTCATCCGCCGGCGTTTGCCGCCGGCAGCCAAGTGAGTGCATTTGTCGGCGCCAACGTACTGTACCTGCCTGAACAGGCCTCAACTCTACCACCATGAGCTAGCTATGCCAGAGGTTGAAAACGAAGAAGCCCCCACGGCATGACGCACTCGCTCAAATAGTCGGGTACCGCGGACATCAAGGATGATGTCTCTCATGCAGTGTTTGCGGTGATGAACATTTCATGCGCCCTTCGGCGGCGAGACAAAGCTAGTAATTTGATCTTCAGTACGTCTTGCAAGAACGCGCGCGAACGTTCGCGCTCGCTAGCCCGCTTGTGCTTATCATAGGAACTTTTACAGCTACCAATGGTCCGCACAAGCAGGTGACGAACAGCGATGATGCCTCCATCTGCCAGCGCGGCGAGTTATAGAGTTGGTGGCGGGGGCAGCGTTCACCACTTGGACCGCGCCGAGATTACGTTGTGTCTGGACCGTATACCACGCAGTGATGTGAGTGGGTTGCTGAACATCCTGCAAACGGCGCGCGTTGATTGGGTTCAAAGTTTACGCATGGCGGTCGGAGGTAAAGCTGAAAACAGGAGCGTCAACTACTGTGCGGTACGCCTGCTAGGAAACTGGCCGGGGCCGGCCTTGGACACAGGGTTTATCTGCGTAATGAAATTACAGTACAGCAGCGATGAGGGCGTCGTCAAGGTATTTTTTGTTTCGCCCCATGTGTCTGCACAGAAGTCGCCGCACCAGTATGCCACATCCTCTAAGCTTATCAGACTCCACCTCAGGTCCTGCACCCTCGCCGGCCCCGCCGAAGATGAAGACGAACTTCACCGGAATACCGATAGTCGACTTCTCTCTATTCCATTCGGATCCGCCAAAGTACTTCGAGCAACTGCGCTTCGCTTTCGAAGACGTGGGCTTCGTCGTCTTCGTGAACGTCCCAGGATTCGAAGATTCGTTTCAAAAGAAGCTGTTTGCTCGCGCGGAATACCTGTTCAGCAAGCCGCAGACCTGGAAAGATGCGCTGGGCACCCAGAATTCGTACGCGTTGCGAGGATACTTCCGCGCCGATGATATCTCAGGTCCTCACCAGGTACGTGATATCGTCTTTTGCTCGCCGTCCTCCTAATGGTCGTCGATCCGATAGGCATATGCAGAAGCATTTCGCTTCGGGCCTGACCTACCCGTACCGGCAGGAGAAGATATACCCTTCTGGCTCAGATTACACCAGGGTCAGTTTTTCGCGTTGCTTTGGGTCTTACTAAAGTTCGTATCTGACGACACTAAACAGGACCAAACCAGTGGCCTAACGAAGAGGAGCTACCGCGCTTCCGGGAGCTCATGGAGACCTTGTTCAGCCGGTATCACGCGCTGAATATAGCTCTGAACGCACACATCTGTCATATCCTGGACATCCCCGACGCAGACATGAGCTCCTACTTCCCCGAGACGACAGAGTTCAACTCCGCTATCTGGCACTACCTGCCTGTCACCCCGGAAATCCATGCTGCCGCGCAAGACGGGTTCGCGCAGGGAATGCACGAGCACCGCGATCCGTCCACATTCGTGACGTGTTTGATTCAGTCGCGGCCAGGTCTGGAGGTGCAAAACCACGCAGGCGAATGGGTGGACGTGCCTATGATTGAAGGAGGCGTCATATGTAATATCGGTGAGCTTTCCAGGGCTTTATCTATGCGAGCATGTCTGAGTACCGCCGTTTCGTCATTTCCCAGGTATGCAGCTGATGAAATTGACTGGAGGAAAGCTCGTTGCGACTACGCATCGCGTTAATACGCTAAAGATCGAAGAGGATCGGTAAGCGAAGAGTGTGATTCCTGGCAGTTGATACTCGCTCACTTGTCCACAGGTACACTATTCCATATGTTCTCTCCACCAAACTCGACAAGGAAGTCGTCCCACTCCCGCAATTTGCCAACGGCCCCGCCGCCAAGGAGCATGCCGCGCCAAACCCGAAGATACTGAACCTTATGGGCGTTGCAGACCCTTTGGAGCGCAGCGGGTATGCTCGACTCAGCCTGTTCCCCGCGGTGGCACAGAAACTGTATCCGCAAGAGTTCCAACGCGCTCACGATCTCGGACTTATGTGATACTGTGACCAGCTTCTTTCTGTACTATAATTTGCTGTAAAATCGTGAAAGTTAATCAAGTACCACGGCGCAGGATCTTACGAGAACAAAACCAACAGATATTGTTCCCTGGGGTTGGCCATCTGCTTGAATATTTGGTGGCCGAGGTTATCGCGGGCCCGGTCAGCGGGCGCTTGATATATTCGGAGTGGTAAGTAAGTGCGAGCGCTAATCTACGGACATGCCTCTTCGACCAAACCATTGGCGGTTCTCTCTATGATCACTCTGTCGTCATGCTCTGTTCGAGACAACGCTGTCCGCCTTAGATAGCTGGTGCAAAAGCAAGAGAGGTGTCATGTACAGAGAGGGAATATCTATGAAGCATGCCGAATCATAGCTTGCTGGCGCGGTGACTTGTTAAGGTATGTTCAGCTTCGTTCGGGTTTCACGTTGCTGGCTCACCGGACATCAGCTACCATAGACATTTTGTATCATGTGCAGAGGTACGCCGGATCTTACAGCGTGCATTTCAGGCCGTCGTGAGAGCCTTCTGCATCACGCCGATCCCGGCGGCGACTAAGATGCGAAGCCCAGTACACATACTGTTTCAATGTTATCACAAAGGTTTGGAAGACATGTTGCCAGGAACACCCATGTCAGTTTCATGTGGCGGCGTATGGAAGGCGGAGAAGTCTTTTCAAACCGTTCAACTTCATGCACGTCTAGGTGTACTAATTGCAACATTGGGCGCCGATGGCTGTGGGCGGCCCATCGTCCTATCAGCACAGGAAATTAGAAGAGAGGACGTCACAAAAGATTACTACAAACGAGTTGACAAGGGTGCAACCAAATTTACTGCTGCCTGGTAGGGGTATGGACATCATTTGTCCTGCAAGATCATCAAGCAGTACTAGGGTGCGCGCCCAGTTCCTAGTCACTTTGAGCATCTGACGGCCGGATTTCCGGACAGAACCATAGCCGCCTTGTGCGCTACTGCGAACGGGGCCCGCCACAACAGATGACGCAGCGACACCGCTACAGATCTGCTGTATCGCCCACGTCCGAGGCATGTTTTGTGGGCGACTACGCGCTTCCCTTGTCTCACTCATCTAGTCAAGACAAAAAGCCTGCGATACCCAGATTCCTGGCGATACTTTCGCATCCTATACTATGTCAGCCGCTCCTCCACTGCCAACGCCCAACACTGCGACCATCGTTCTGCCGCCGGGATTCACGCTTGACCAGTATATGACCCTCGAGGGTCAGCTAGGTGGGTTTCAGCTCTTCCGACGACTATAGAGATTCTCATCGGGTCTAAAGTGACAATTGCGATTGTCACGGCTGTGGCCTTTGGCCTCATTGTGTGGGATTAGTGAGTAATTCTCGAAAACAGCCATGCCTTCTTGACCAATTGGATGTAGCTTCACCCTACTTCCGGACGAGCTTGCGTTGTATACCAACAAAGACGCGCGAGTATTTCGCGTGCCTACCACAATTCTGTGCGTAATATGAGGGTGCATCATATTCCTCGCTATATCTAACCGCGTCGACAGCTTCGTACTCCTGCGATATTCTGGCATTGTAGCCACCCTCCCTTCGATCTTCTTTACGGCAGCTCAAAGCCAGCATTGTCAATCAGCCGTAATCATCAGTCAAGTTGGCGCATGTCTTGCGGTCTTTTCGTCGGGTGCAATTTTCTCTCTCCGGGTCTTCGCAATTTGGCATGGAAATAGAGCGGTGTACGCTCTTGTTGCGCTGATGTTCACGACTATGATGTCCTGCTGGGTGCGTCTGAACACTAGTTCGTGCGTACCGTCTGTCGCTAAAAAATCCATACCTCGTATAGATTGCCGTTGCGACGCAGTTCAATGCTACAACAGGACCCCCCACGTCGTTCGGCTCAAACTGCCAGATTCACGCCATCGTGTCATGGGCGCCGATAAGCTACGGTTCCTCTGTTCTCTTCGACACCACCATCCTCCTCCTCACCCTCGCGAAGCTCCCGCGCAACCTCGCACACAAGTCCCTCGTGGGCCGGCAGATTTTCCGCGACACGCTGATGTACTTCTCGATCACCGCCGTCACCAACATCGTCGTGCTCAGCTTCCAGTCGCTCGGCGAAGCGCACTCGCTGCTCAAGCCGAACGCGGTACCCTTCTCCACCGTTATGACCGTCACGATGGGCTCGCGCGTGTACCTCAACCTGAAGCTGCTGCAGAAGCGGCGGGAGGCGGAGAGCGAGGGCATAGCGCTTTCTGTCCCGCGCTCCGACAAGAATCGGAGTGCGAGTTCGGGCACGGACGTGACTCAAGGGCCCGAAGCCGTCGCACCGCCCCGCGGGTTTGCTCCAAGCGCGAACGCGAGCGTGGAAAGACTGGGAAAGGTTCGGTCCCCTCTGACATTTGATGATGCATAGGCGTTTCATGCACGGCCCCGTTCACGTTTTGCTAAGACGCTCATTCCTACCTATTACTCACTACTACGACATGCGCATAATTATCCCGAATGACCAGACGACGACCCGAACGAACCGCTGCCAATATCTCTTACCACTTACTTCGTGTACTTCCTCATTTTTATCGCTCTTTATGACCATCACGTACACGTTCAGATGGCGCTGAACGAAAAAGCGGGCCCTATCGTCCGCGCCCAACTGCTCATCACCGCTCGTTATGCGCTTCGTCCTGATCCAACACCGGCCAAGTTCGGATAGCAGGTCCATATGCCGGTGAGTACTACGTCCGATTTCAATTCCTTTGGCTCATCGGTTGATACGCATCTTTCTTATGTCTTCTGTAGAATAAAATTAGCTCCAGCGGCACACAATCACTCGCCGCAGACCGCGGACGGAAGCCGCGACACAAACGTACCCTGCCCGAGGCTGTGACAAGCTTTGACACAGGGCACAGACCAGCGTTTCCTACGAGATGCGCTCGCTGAGCGCTCGCATATTCTGTTCCAGATAGCCGCGTTACTGGGCGGTGGGTTTTGACTTCTTGGGCGGCCAGGGTTGGTCCCTTGGAACTTGAAATTGAACCTTCTAGGAACGCGCTGTACCCACGACCCTGGATGGATTGAACGTACCAGTTGTGTGCTATCACCGCGCCTCTACCACACGTTGGAGGTGTGTCAGTCTCCCGACGTTCTGTGCCCTCAACTCGGAGACAGTGCTACTAAAGCCCGCCGGACAAACTCGCTACGCTGCTCAACTTCGTCGTCATGGCCTCTGTACCCACCGATACGTACGAGCTACTGCAATGGAACATGAAGCTAGGTGAGTGGGCGTGTTATAAGCTCGGACGCTATGGCAGGAGACCGGCAAAGACTCTGACTGTGTTTCCCACGTGCAGCCCACCAAACATACGAGAAGGGCTACGAGATCATCATTCCTCTCCTTGACAATCCTCCCAAGGCCGACCTGAAGAACTTCTTGGGTTACTGCGAGGCATGGGGCCATTCTATCCTGCACCATCACGATACAGAGGTGTGTCTCGTGGCTTCCCGCACTATACCGGGTGCTTGGCCTGCTTACGCACGCCTTACGCTCTCAGGAAGCAACCGTCTTCCCGATCCTCAACAAGAAGATGGACTTCTCGCACGAGAAAGAGCAACACACAGAGCTTCACGCTTTCCTGGAGAAATTCCTCGCCACCATCAAAGACGCGCAAGCCGAGCCGTCAAAGTTCAACGCGGTAGAGCTCAAGGAGCTCATGGTAGGCTCGAAGGACGTGATGGTACGTGCTTGCAGCTGGCGTGTGTCGTTCTTTCTAGTGGCTAAAATGGGGTCTGTCTAGTTCGCTCACTTTAGCCAGGAACTCGTGCACATAGGCGCATCAAAGCTGAAGGAAGCGGGATTCAGCGAAGATGAGTGCAAAAGAATGATCGCCGATATGGAGAAACATGCCAAAGGTCACGGCGACCCGTTCCTTGTGGTTCCCTACATGCGCAGGTTCGCATATTGTCCTTCTCAATCTTAATTCTAACCTAGCATTCACTACGCGTCTTCAGTCATACACCGGCCGAGTACAAAAACATCTGGCCACCCATGCCATGGGTTCTCCGAAAGGTGGCTGTGCCCTATATGTTAGCGAAGAAGCATTCAGGGTATGATTTCCGCGTCGTACTTCTGTGCTTGAAACTGACATTCACGCATGTAGGTATTGGAAGTACGCTCCCTACGCAATGTCCTAGGTAGACCTCGTTGTGGCTCTTTAATGTGCCTACAAAGCATACCCCACCTGACACTCATACGATGCTCGCCGGCGCGTTTTGTGCAATGCAATGCGATGCATACTGTGATGTGCCTGGAGCTCTGCGAAGCCCCATAGATTCTCACTGCTGCACGTTTTATGTGCATTTGGTTCGACGCCGCTCTCACTCGGACGTATGCTGCATAGTGAATACGCCCACCATTATCCCGGTCTTCCCGGGGGAAGCTACCGATCGGCGATTGATGCTATGCCCAGCTGTCGTGGCTCCTATGATGTACAGTCATCCGCAGCGACACGCAGTTCTATGCCGTCCACTGCAAGCCTGACGAGGCCCGTTGACACCAGCCCGAGGTTGAGCCAGGCTGCTGTACCGCAGCTAACGCTAGCGGTTTTGACGTGATGGGCTCGTAGGTGTCATTCCAGATCGCTGCGCCGCTGCTCACTTTTGGTCAGACATCCAACTTCTTGGCAGCCAGTGCTCATGGAGCGACCGGTGATGACTGAAGCACATTCTAGCATGCTATTCCCGCAATGCTACCACTGAGTTAGTATTTAATGGGATACCAATTTCTCAGCCTCCTGCATTTTCCTGAACACAGTGAAGCTACTCGCACTCTTCCTACCTCAGTCTCAACGACTCCGCGTTCATCGCCATGCCTGCCGTCACTGCAATGACCTCCGTCCCCAGTGACCCATACGAGTTGCTGCATTGGAACATGATACTAGGTCCGTGGATGCTCAGAATTTATGACACTGGCGGGCAGATTTTGACCGACAGCATCTCATAGCTCATCAGACGTACGAGAAGGGCTACGAGAATATTGTATGCCTCCTGGGAAACCCTCCCAAAGACGACTTGAAGAATTTCTTGGGCTACTGCGAAGCATGGGGTTATTCTGTCGTGCATCATCACGATATAGAGGTGCGTATCAGTACAGCGGTTCGAGCAGCGTCGTACGTCTAGCTTGCTCACGCGTCCGCGCCCTCCGGTTTTAGGAAGCAACTATCTTTCCAGTCTTGAGCAGAAAGATGGACTTCTCCCACGAGAAAGAACAGCACCAAGAGCTGCACGCGTTCCTGGACAAATTCCTGGAGATCATCAAGGCGGCCCAGGCCGATCACACCAAGTTCAACGCGCCGCAGCTCAAAAAGCTCATGGAGTCCGCCAAGGACGTGATGGTGCGCGCGCCAGCCGACGTGTGTGGTTCTGGATAACTGATCGGTGTCGTCTAGTTTGTACACTTCGACGAGGAACTCGTGCATATAGAGGCAACGAAGCTGAAAGAAGCAGGCTTCACTGAGCACGAGTGCACGGGTATGATCGACGAGATGGAGAAACACGCGAAGGGTAGCGGCGACCCCTTCCTCATCGCTCCCTATATGCTCAGGTGCGTACCGTTTACCCTGGCTCCGCGTTATCGATCCACACCGACGCGCAACCTCCAGCCACACAGCGCCCGAGTACAAGAACATCTGGCCTTCAATGGCATGGGTACTGCGAAAGGTCGCAGTGCCTTACGTGTTGGCAGTTAGGCACACCGGGTAAGCATCCTTTCTCGGGCTTCCAACATGTTTGGGGTGTTGACATTTCTGTATATATAGTTACTGGAAGTACTCCCCTTATTCTATGTAGTATAATCACGTATAATGTCGTGCTACCCGCATTCCGTTGTGTGTTATCTTATACGTCTCATTCTAATACCCCAGTTGTCCAGCTGAGCTACTTACAGGGACGGTCTGCTGCATCGTCCTATGGCGTGACCGTCCAAGCGAAGTTGCCTATCGTGGGCGCGATACACGGTGGCGTATGCTCGTGTCTATACCATGTAGTCGACAACATGATAGCTAGGCTCAACTATTGCTCTCTAATCAGCGCTCATCAACCTTGCAAAACTATCAGTCAGACTTACAAAAGTGTCGGAGGCCCGCCCTCGAGATGAGGGAAGATCCTGTTCACGATGCCACGATGCATCTCCTCAGTGAAGCCGTAGCGTACGCTCAAATGCCGCAGTCCGTGGTCTAGCAGCTCCAGTGGCAACACGTCCATCTCCTCGGGGTGACAAACCAGCCTCGTCAGCGCAAGTTCTTTCATCCAAGGGCAGTTCTGCGCGATTGCGCGCAGGCCGAGCACGCCCACCTGGCAGCTAGGAGACCCATAGGGCCGTACCGGTTCGGCTTCGTACACGACCAGTCTCCTGAGAGCAAGCCACGCCTCGGACATCGAAAGGCACGAACGTAGAGTACTCGATGCGCACGGTCATCAGCGCACACAGGGAGAACAGTGGCGCGAGTACGGACGCGAGTGCAACGGTGCCTCGCATGCGAGTGTATGCCTTCGCTCGACCTCGATTTCGCGATCGCTCATGACAGAGCCTCTCCCTGCATGATAGAGTGAATATCTGTACCAGTCGAAGATTTCGTCGAGGATGTCCGTAACGGAGAGTGCACATTGTGTGGCCATGAGAGTGGCGTGTTGATGAGGTTGAAGTGAAGGAAGGAAGGGCACGGCGGGCGAGGATTATAAGAAGACTTGAGCCGACTTGCTTGGCAGTTAGATCGGTACAAACACGTTGACCTACGCTATGATTGCAGTGTCTTGGCGGCGTAACGTTTGTCAGACAGAGGAGGTTTACTTCATTGTCGCTCACCTCTATCGGCTATGGTACAAGCTTACACAAGTAGTCTATTCGGAATCGCTGCCAGAGTCTGGCCACTGCACTGGCGCATCCCCCTGGCCCGTAAGCAGCGTCCTCACTGTCGTCCACCTGTAATGCATCTCATACGTGTAGAGCCACTGCGCGCCTCCCGGCGTGCTGCCAGACTCTAGCCAACGTATCTCCGGAAACAGCCGCGCGAGGAAATCCGCCACCGCGTGCTCGTCCTCGATCGTGGCGTCGAACACGACAAGGCGGCGCAGCGCACACCGCGATGGCACAGGCAGGAGTCGCGCGAGCGTCGCCTCGTCGGGCACCCGGTCGGCGCTCACGGGCAGCTCCAACGTGCATAAGTCTGGGCAGTCGCGCGCGAGCGGGATGAGTCCTTCGAGGGTGAGGCGCGGTTTGACCCAGGGGGGTGGCTGGAAGCTGACCAGCGAGAGGGTGGCAAGATTCCGCCAGGCGTGCGCGATGTTTTGGAGCGCGTTAGTGCTTGCAACCAGCGAAGGGCTCCGGATGTGGAGGGTGTCGATGTGGGGGCAGGCGTAGAACGGCTCGAGTGTCTCTTCGACGTCGAGTGCTGGACAAGGAGTGGTTTCGATACGTGGAGAGGGAGTGGTTTCGTTACGTTGACGGTCGAAGTTTAGCGTCAGGCTGGTTAGGGAGTCGCGGTAAGTGGCATGCGCGAAGGCGTCGAGATGTACCTTGACCATGTGAGTATAGGACTGATAGTGGGACTCGATCCGTAGCTTCTGCAGGTTCGCGCTTTGTACGGCGCCTAGGAAGGTGACCGTACTGCTGTCCATTTGGTCCACGTAGAACTTCAGTTCTTCGAGCGTGTTGAACCATTCCCCGTGACGCGAGCCCCAAACTGCAGAGGAAGCTATCATGCACATCTCCACCGGCTGAGCTCGAAGCTCCAGCATGACGAGCTTAGGGAGCTCCGCCAGTGCTTCTACGCAGCTCGTTGACAAGAGGCCCTCGATCTTGACGTGCTTGAGCTCAGGCAAACCGCGGAGGAGCCGTGCAAAGGCGTAGCCGACGACACCCGTCAACTCCCACATCTCGTCGCATACCGGGTCGGTGCCCATCGTGAGATGATCCACGCGCTTGCACGCCGCCTCTACGTGCTGAAAGAGCGCCATTATCGTGGGCGGGTCCAAATGGGAGAGTGTGAGTTCAAGGCGCTTGAGATTGGGGGCGAGGAAGAGGTAGACGGAGGGAGAGTAGTCTGCGCAGGGCTCGTCCCAGGTGAGCTCGCGGAGTTGCGGGAGGAGTGGCTGGCCGGCGGGACAGTACCCAGAAAGTGTGGTCAGAGCGCGGAGCGAGACGTCCCGCAACTCCTCCCAGTAGATGCGTTGCACGTGTTTAGCGTAGTGGTTGAATCGCGTCCATTCAAGCTGGTCAGGTCGGATGATGTGCTGTAGATGCGGTCAGTAACGTGATATGGGGGACGAGCGTGGTTAGTTCAGAAACGTACGAAAGTGCTACCACCATCCACGAGAGGAACTTCCGTCCATGAGTCAGGTGGAAGAAGTCGCAAGAGCGGAACGAGGCTTTCTTGATCTTCCCAGAGTGCGTGTATAGATGCCGCGTGCAGCCATGTGCTCGTCTGGGCGAGGGACGCTATCGTGCGTCTGCTCAAGGACATACAGAGCGAGTCCAATATGAGCCGGACAATCCGCCCTTCGAGGAAGCAGCGGTGGGCTGGGGGGAGTGAGGAGGAGTACATACGCGCCTGTCAAATGAGTTACAATATCAGTGAGCATTCGTGAAGTATTTTGCAACGTATCAGCTTACTTTGAGTGGTACCTGGAAAAGTAGCTAGACTTGAACGCACTTCAGGGATAGCGGCTGCCAACAATTCACCGTCAAGGACGAAACCGGTGATTATATGCACTCCGTATTGATGCGCTTGGATCACCGTCCAAGTGGCATGGTCGATGCGCCTTATAGACAGCATTGACGCCGCATATTGGACAACCAAGCGGTGAGTTTTAAGGGCTAACGCACATCTGGATAACAGAGAGGGGTTGTACCATTGAGATGGACGATAACAGTATCCCAGTAAAAATGTTCAGGTCGCGCTCTGTGCTCGGAAAAGGCGATCGGAGTAGTGCGAGGTAGCACTCAATCCTTCCTAAACATTGGAAAGAGCCTAATCAGTATCATAGTATATGCCAGCGGGTATTCCAAGCATTGGGCCTCGCACGAATGTTACTCACTATGGTCTGCTTCAATCACTGTAGATGGCATTTCGCTAGGACACGTGCCACAGAACCTTGTACAACGATGTTCCACCAACCGAAACACGACTCCGAGTTTTTCCAATTGCTCACAGGCCTAACGTGCCTTCAACGAGTACGTCGTCATGTCGTCCCTTCCCTCAGCTTGAATATCTTTACGACGTGGCTCTTCCGGAGTCGCACCCAGGTGCGATGAGGGCCTAACGATAATGCCACCGCCTAGACGCGACCTCCAGTCTCGCTCGACACACGGCCCGACGGACTGCACCAGACCCAGTTTCAGCAAGTGAGTCCATGATAGAGCAATATTGGCAGATGGCGGTACAAAGACAGAAGAGGCCATTGCCTCCGCGTACGTTCACTGTCTTGAACACCGGTCCGTCCGGCGGGGCTCGGCTCCGAGTCGTCCGACACCGCATCCGACGGCCCGATATGGTAGCCCTTGTCTTCCACGTCGGGCGCCTGGACGAGCTCGACGTCTTTGGCAGTGACCACGAACGTTTCGGGTGCGCAACGGGTATGTGGCCTTCTCTGCTCATAGCAGTCAATGATGCTTAGATATGCAACCCCAGCGGATGCAGTACGCCACGATGTCTACGGCCAGATATACCTCCGTTGCGGTGCGAAAACACACATCCGGATCTTCGCATATCTTTGCTCCGGGCGGTGCGCCCACTCCAAATGCACCCTCGAGGCTCACCACGGCTCGGAGGTTCGCGTGCGGAGTCCACTAGCAGCATCGTGGATTGCCCTTCGCGGAGTTCATCTCTGCGCATGTGCCATTCAGGCCCTCCCATCCGGCGCCGAGTGTCTGTTCAGACTTCCTTATCGTGCCTAGCGTCTGCGGGCAGTGGGTCCCCGGCCCTTTCGACCAGAAGGAAGAAGGCCTGGCCAGAGCTTCGGCACCGCATCACATCTCCGCCCGTCCCCAGACTAATGGATGCCATGGGTTTACAGCCTGAGTGAAAAACAAAAGGAAGGCCGTGGGGGACGCAGCGGTCCCCACTCCACGTCCGCCCTTGCGCGTCTTCCTTCATGACTGCTGCTTGAGTTTTCAGGATGTCCTCACCCATAGAGGTTCCGTTCGCTGAGTCGCTCGAGACTCTTCTGATCCACGGAGAAGCAGTCCGGTGAGTAGACCTGCCATGCCAGGCGTGGATCACACGAGGCCATTCGCTGACACGTTTTCTTGGTAGCATCATAACCCGTGAGCCATCTTGTGCATTACTAACCAATGTGAGGCGTGCTGAGAACATCCCGGACCCGTCATAGTCGTCGGCTTCGTCGTCCTGCTCTATGACTATCTCCTCACGGTCAGTGTCCTCCCGATACCTCTGCTTGCACCATCTTGACATCTCTTTCAGCTCACAGATGAGGTGGGATGGTTCTGCACTCGAGACGCATCTTGTTCTGAGTTCCCATTTGCTATCACAGGTCAACTTGATATGGAATGCCAAGAAAGGCGTCGTCTCGACGATCTTCCTTCTTGTAAGCTGTCTTTCTTCTCTTCATCACACACGGCCGCTGAACCGCACGCAGAATCGCTATTGCATGTAAGAAACCTATCTAATCGCTTGGGGGACGTTGCTTACACCGTAACGATTCAGTCCGGTCGTGCTGGCTTTGGATATATATGGTGAGCACAGAGGCGTCTTCCTTGCTATATACGTTTCTGAGGACGTTATCCAGAATCGTTTGGGAACGCGGCAGCTTCAATATTGGTACGCTCGTTGTGCAGTCCAATCCTCGACTCTCAACTTATCGAGCTTCACAGTTTTGCAAGGTCTGGACGATAGTGCAGAGCTATGTAACGATATTCTCCTATATCTCTATCCATGGTACGCATTCTCGCACCCCACGCAAACCCTTGTCTCTCTGCTGACGCGCCTGTCGTCGTGCGCTCGCAGCGATAGTCGCGTGGCGCCTCTACGCAATCCTTAGAGGCAAAGCCTGGGTCGCGTGGACGCTATGGATAGCAGGATTTCTGAACTTCGCCATCTCCGCGGGTATCACCACCGCGTCGCTCATTCCCACCATCGGTGCGTCTGCCAACCACATACCCGGGTTCGCGCCCACATCTGACGTCCGCGCAGCCAACCTCCGTCCCTTTCATCACGCGTGCGTCGTAAGCGTGAGTGTACCTCCGGTCACTGCGGTCTGCGGGAGCTGACGTGGGTATCATCGCAGGCGCCGCGATACATATGGGCTATTTGGCTTCCTAGGTATGTCACTTATGCCAGGCATTGAAAGACGGCGGGCGCTGACATGACGGCCGACGTGAAGTGTCTTCTTCGAAACTCTCCTTTTCGGCCTGACCATCGTCGCTATGGTCTATCAAGGGCAGCGCCATTCTTTGACTTCTCTCTCGCTTCTCCTTTATCGCGATGGTGAGTAACGCAGTCGTTCCGGGTAGGTCGCTGCCTCACTAAACACCGCCTTCGTAGGAATGTTGTACTTCGTCGCTGTGACATGTACGTAGGCCGTCCGCCTCACACTCTCCCCCGCGCAGCCCTGCTGAATTTGTGCGCACTCACAGTTTGTTCCCTCTTCTCCCTGATGGTATGGGCCCTCGCCGGCCCCGACCTCCTCGGCCTCGCTCGCTAGTACGCCCGTGCCCCCCTCCCTCTCCCATCCCTTCTAACACCCCTCCCCGCTCGCAGCTTCACCCTCGCGATGGTGAACGTCGCTGGGGCACGCCTCGTGCTGAACCTCAAGGCGTACGCGGCGTCGCGCAGCCCGGACGACGACCTCACGTGGGACCCGCCGCACTGGCCGCAGCCGAACGCCACGACCACGCCCGTCGGGATCCGCTTCGCGTCAGACTCGGACTCGATCGGTTCGGGGCAGCGCACAGAGGCGTTTGACCTGGAGATGTACGCGATCGAGCGCGAGTACCAGCATATCGGGACGCGGATCCACTAGGGTGCGCGTTTCGCTTTTCGGCTGGCTTTTGGGTTTGGTCGCGTCGCGGGGTTTGGATACCAAAGGTGCAGGAAGATACCACTGGAGGAAGGGAAGGATACCAGGTTATTTGTACAATACAGCACTGTATCGCTAGCTTATAGACCCCGCGCGGGGTCGTCTTCACCATCGTTTTGAGCACTTGTGTTTGCACCACCTCTGTTCGACTCCTCAGGCCAGTACGAGCAAGGTCCGCCATTAGCACGCATGAGGAACGAATAGTCGAACAAGGATTCGCGTGGTATAAAGAGTGCGCTGAAGAAGGAGCGTGTGCATTACAAAGAGAGGCGACATGTACATATACTGGTTTATTGAAGCATCCCAGCACGCGCTGGGCTTGTCGCGCGCCCGCGGGGGATACATCCTGATTCTCCATCCATCCTTGCGTATTTCGTTGTCTAGGCCTACAACGCCTTCGCGAACGAGTAGCTCCTGCAGAAACGAACATTAGCTCTCCGTTCGCGATATGCAGGTAGGAAGATGCTCACTTCATGTCCTCGTTGTCCGACTGCGACTCTTCCTTGAACGCCTGCGCGGGATGGGCGGTGGCAGTGCTGGATGAGGGCGAGCCGGCGGAGCGGGACTCGGAGTGCTCGCTGGATCTCGCTTGGGCGAGCTGGATCTCCCAGATGGAATGACGGACTCTGCGTGGATGGTGGGTGTCTGGGTATTCACGGTGGGTGTCTGAGTAATCATGGTGTGTACGTGGATCGAGGGCGCGTAGGTGCCAGTACTAGCTGGGGAGGAGCGACTCGTTCTCGCACTTGGGACGGTCGGAATATCTCAGAAATGGCATTGCGCACTATGGAAAGTACTAAAGCACCATCTGCGCGACAGGCAGCCGCAAAAACAGAATCGCGGCCATCCCGAAGGACACTCTGCGCACTCGGACGCGTGGGCGCCTATTGTGACACTGCTCAAAGCTGCAAAGTCGCGCGCCGCGCCGCCTCCCTTTCCACCATGACCCTCGTCTTTCCACTCCCGCTCGCTGTCACTCTCTCTCCGTCTCGCGGCGATGCGCCTCCCGCCATCGAATGTGCCATCTGCATGCCCACAAGTCAGCAGGGATCCGCACAACCTGCGGACACGCCGGTACGCACCGTCTCCGATCCTGAGCGCGCGGGAGTCGATGAGGCCGACGCCAGCACTTGTCCAGGACGCGGGGTGTTCGTGGCGCGGGGCGCGGGAGTTGATGCACCCGCTGCATTGCTATAGCGCGGCGGGAAAGTCACCGATACGCCTCCATCTGCCGGAACTGAACACCCGGCAGAGTCCTTTCGGGTGCAACGAGGCCGTCTAGCGTGTCTCCCGCATGATGTCGCCTGCAGGCGCGGGCGTAACTGGTACTGCCTTCCCAACAGGTAAGATCCTCACCTTTTTTGTACTCCCAGAAACTTGGTACACGGCGCCGGACACGTCGCTGGCACCTTCACAGGTCGGGACAGGGCTCGCGCCAGGTCGTGGTCGTGTCTGACGCTGGGAGTGGATGTTCTCCAGGCCTGCCATACCCATCCTGCGTGAAGATGGTCGGTTAGCAGTCGGAGCTCGTGCCGGCCAACAGACGAGTTTCTTACCCAGTGCCTTCTCCGGAGTCCGTTTGGGAGATCAGCCCTCAGCCTCTCCCGCGACGTACATTCTCCCTTCGACACTGACCAAAACGAGTGTGGTGCGGATGAGCTGAGAGGACGCGCTGCGCGGGCCCAGCAAAGTCCTTGAGCGTCCGGGAACGTCCGGGCCGCTCGGCACGTTCAGGCAGCAATGGCGCCTATGCCGCCACAGCTCGACATCCTCAAGGTCCGCTAGTAGGTCCATGACTTCTACCACCTACCACTTTGCTTCTGCCACGCTCGCTCTGGGGCCCGTTGTCGAGGTGACCGCGCTCTCCCTGCATGTGCATCTACATACGGCCACACGTGTTTGCCCGAGCGTTCCGTGACGCGGGCCGCCGGCGAGCGTGTGCTCGTGTTTGCTGCATATGCCCGGCAGATCCCTCGGAGTGCCTGCACAGCTGGTAACATCGTGTCGTAATGACCAAAGACTGTACCGCCCCGGGGACTCCAAGATGGGAAAGGTGAGTGGGAATGCATTCCACGAGCCTTCCGTCGTGCTCGAGGCGTCACTGCCAATGCCTGCCTGCGCAGGTGTACCTTGACATGAGCTGACAGGTACTCGAGTGCCGAACAGACAATGTTCTCACCTCACGTATCCTCGGAATCTCGCAATGTAGACTCGCTCACTCACGGCATAAGCCCAGCTCCACGTTGGGCAGGTTGTGTACGTCTCGGGTGGCCTGCGAGGGACAGGCCGGGGGATGGCTCCAGCCGTACTTGCACTGCGTGACGATCGTGAGTTAGCATGATGCATAAGAGACCTAAACAAGCTACTTACCTTGTCCCTCAGCCACGCTGGCCGATCCGCATCCGAGAGGCGTGCTGCACATCGGCCTCTCTTCTCCTTGGTGTGAACAGGTCTAGACGAGGAAGAATTGGTATGTGCCATATCTACTTTGTGCACATGCGCCCACGCGGCTCCACCGTGCTCACCTTGCACGATCCGCCGTACTTGAGACTTCGCGTCAGGGCTGCACGAGGGCATTGGCCGCCCGCGGCAGCTCTGCACGGGATGGGAAACTTGACGGTGGGCAAAGAGACTATGGTATGCATCGCCGCACGTTAGCTCATAAGATTTGCTGTATCACATTCAGGGTTCTTACCAGGTATGCATGTGCACACACGAGTCCGGGATGCTTGGTGTACGTCTCAAGTCGCACGTTGGGCGCTTCATATCCGCAAGGTTGTTCTTTCAACTTTTCCGTCAGCAACGAGAGCTTGTACAACACAACGACACAAAGACCCACTCTCTTCAATAAGGAGAGCATCTTCGGCGCGTCCAGGGGTGCATGCCGTCTACCGCACTCCACGTGCGCCGGAAGCTACGGGTTTATCGCCCATCGCTACTCAGAGGTACCGACTGCGCTGAGAGGGCTAAAGCCTCCTCGGCGGAGAGCGCCCTCACGCCGCATCGTTGGAACACCTGTCAGAGGCCGTTCCATCCATGGAACCACGCACGTGGAGTCCTTCGCATCGCGCAAGCTCGTGTATTGAGTGTTCCTGTATGGGCCTATGGTGCAAATGGAGATGTTCAGGACACTGCGGGTCAGTCCGGCCGACGACAGCGAACTCAATACGACTCACGAGATCCAAGGCTACATAGTGCAGCTGCCATGTGCGGGATGCTTGCTGAGATGCCAGCATGGGGCGCGTTTGTCAACAACCCTGACAGCACGCGCCTTTGCCCAGCCTGCTGCACACCCACGCTGTGCTCTCGGGACGCCCTCCGGAGATGTGTCGATGTGTCAAGAGCTCGTGAGGATGCATCAATACAATCCCAGTCTCAACGATGATGCATGGACCTACCAAGGACAGTATCTCGCTCGCGCAGAGCCACCAGAGTCGTCAGGGAAGGGCAGTGTCTCCTGTCAGCCACGCAAGCCTGGGAGCTCACATGTGTGGCGTGAGGATGTCACATCGCTCGAGACCAGTGTAGTCGGCAAAAACGGCAACGGTCCAGGCGGGCAAGATTGCTCGCGAGTCGTGGAAGGTGCGTCGTTGTTGGTCCCGACAACTTGGATTTAGTGACTGATAGTGATCTCGACAGATGCGGTGCTTACAGTACGAGTGCCCGGTCAGCGTGAGGCGGACGACCTCATGCTGGAACCTGGAAGGTGCACGGTGAGTCAATCTGAGGCTGGGATGGGTAACGCTCTTGAAGGTGCGCCTGCTGCGTCGTTTCTTGTTAGGCTTCAACGGCTCGGAGGGGCAAGTTTGTGTGTTGCCACTGCTGACGGACTCGCCCATGAAGAGGATTGCCGGTGAAGGGGAGAACCGTGAGCTAGGTCGGCGAAGTGGGACACAATGCGAGGTGGAGGATCCAGACAAGGAGGAAGTGGCGGGATAGAGTCAGGCTGGCGGGGAGGTTCTGGCTACATGGGGTGGCCCTGACTGCACAGTGCCGTTGCGACGGATGGGTAGCTCTCCGTCCGGGGCTGTGCCGCGTGCGGGACAGTGCAACGCCTGTGGGAGGATCACGGTGCACGGCTGTTTCGGGGTGCAAGCTGTTATCTTTGCTCATTCTAGATTTGTTCCTATGGCCGCTCGCGTATTGTCTGCTATTGACTTCCATGCACTGGACCAATCATAACACCTGGTAGATGTGTGCGGTGCTATCGCATGCACAAGTATACATTCTGGGTGCTTTATCTGGTGGTATCTATACTGCGTGAGCATGCGGACCTAAAGGGTTGCGGTTTACGCTTGAATCTCAGATGCATTTCCGGTGACATCGGCGAATCTCAAGGGTCGCCGGTCCAGGTGCTTTGGGAGTACCCGGCGTAGTCGAGGTCCGTGGATACATCAGATTCATTGCCGTGTGCACCTTTAAGCAACACTCGACACGACGGGATATTATTGAGCTAGGCGTATCCATGGAGAGAAGGAAAGATTGACCATGCGAGCAGGGCATAGCAGTAGTGAGAACATGTTGTGTCTGCCAAGCAATTGCCTTCTTTGGTAAGAATGTTCGAACCACCTGCGCACTCGCAACGTATGCATCGACCATGCTCTCTCGTTTCTCCCTCCTCTTGACTGACATGGCCTGCTCCATGATATATATTTGTCGCCGCCGTATCTATCAAACGGGCCAGACCGTCAGCGGACAATCCATGCTCGACGTGCAATCACATCCTGGACACGCCGCCACCGCCGTCTCCTGCCGTGCACCCAGAACACCTCTCTGCCCCTGTTCCATACTCGGCCAACACGGAAACGAGTGCACTAGCTGCGCACGTATCTCCCCTCGCAACGGTGGTGCCTACACCCGCTCGAAACGAAGGCAATGCTTGATATCTTGCGTACCGAGCTCCCGCTGTCAGAAGCGAGCGCGTTCCTGCTACCATGCAAGTCGAGACCGGCGGCATGCTGCCGCAGTACGTCCGTGCGCAATCATGCCCGCCGACCCCGTCGCACTCGGCTCGTCGTGTCTCTCCGTGGTTGGTGCACTGCTCAGCGGGGCTCTGAGCCCCTCTGGCCCTCTCGTAAAGTCGGTGTGATGTGTTCGCACGCAACGGTATCCTTACTCGGACGGAGAACGGCCTGGCTCCGGTATACGATCGCCGCACAGACAACGGGACGACGCAGAGGAGCGGAACGGCCCTAAAGTGCGGGGTATAAGTATGTGAGTGACCAGGCGCGACGCGGGCGTGCTCACCGCTCCTCCTCCTTCCCACCTTCTCTCCCACCTCTCACGGCCAGCTACCCACCATACGCCCTACCAGCCTGCACGAGAGGTATGCCAGTAGCATTATGCGTGCCACATCTCATTCACATATGCATTCATAGTCTCCCTCTCGAGCAAGCGAGCGGCGCAGGTTGATGTCTCCTTTACCGGGTCACATGGAGCTGAAGGATACAGCAGGATGCCATGCGCCGTACGCCCAGAAAGCCCTCGGGAAGTCGGGTACGCAAGTTGTCGTCTGTCACGTACGCTGATTCCTGTTGCAGAGCCTCCCACAGCTTGAACACGACGCTTGAGCGCGCGCGCGCGCGGTCGTGAGCATCGTGAGTGCTTCGCACATGCTGTGTCCGACCTCTCGTGAGCCCGTCATTCCCATAGCAGAGCCCCAGTCCGCTCATTCTCTCGTACCAGCACCCTGCAGGCTTCGACCACGGGCACGCTCTGCGCCGTCTCGCCGGCGCCGGTACGCACCGTACTCCGGGAGACCTATAGGGTACAATCGCAGTAAGCACGGCCGTCCGCATTCCGAACGCGCAGTACGGACACTCACCTCGGTGCTTGCTCGCAGCGCTACACCACAAAGCGGACGTCGCGGTCTCCCTCGACGCGGCAGGGGGACATGCCGCATAAACCGCCGCGTCGCGAAGCCGACGCCGAAGCGCGGGCGCGCAAGCCCCCGCACCGTACGTCGCGGAACATGCTTGCAGCTTGCTACACCGCCCAGCAGCTCGCGCGCGGCCCATGGTGATCCTGCATGCTGTCAGTCAGCTCTCCATCCACAGCGAGCAGACTGTGCCGCTCACCGTTGCAGATCGCCCTTTTCCGTGTCGCCTGCATCACCCCGCGCACGCTGTGCGCGCACCCGACTTCCGGCCACACTCGACGCACTGGAAGGTGAGCATCGCGGTACGGGCACTCGGACGGCTTACCTCCCGCGTGCAGCAGCACGTCGAGCTGCACCCGCGTTGTGGACGACGGCGCACGGCAGCGAGGACACCGCAACGGCGGCGCGGAGACAGGGCGGGTGCACCAAGGAGCTTGGAGCGACGGCGGTCGGAGTGCATAGATTACGGTACAAGTATCTACGTACATGTCTCACTCCCGGCTCTGCTCTTGCGGTACCAGGGCGCGCCTCTAGTGACGTCGGCGGAGAGGCGGCGGCGAAGGAGATGCCGGGCGCGGTGCGCATGGCGCCGCCGAACGGCGCGTTTCGTGCACCTTCTCGTCGACGGGGCACAGCGACGAGGGTGTGGTGTTCCGAGGCGTCGCGGAAGCAGCACGTCGTCCGCTTGCTTGTGCACTGGGTCCGGGGGCGGGGGTTCCGATGCACACGGGTTGGTCGACGGCGGAGGCGGGCCTCGCGTGCTCGT